AAAAAAAAAAACTTTTATAAAAAATACGTAAAAAAATAGAAAGATGATATAAGTCAAAAAAGATGAAAAAGATAAAAAAAAAAAAAAAAAAAAATCCTATTTTAAGAGATGCCAAATAGTCCCTTAAATATAGAAAGAAAAAAGTAACTTACTTATATGTGACTTTCGATAATAAATTTACTTAATCTTTTGAGGACTCCTAAAAGTGTATTTTTAGCTGTGTTAGTTAATTTTTTTGGCCCATAATGACAAAAATAATGTGAAAGATCATATTACTTCTATCTATTCAATTATCATTTATATGTCTATATGTCACCTATTCGTCCAAATATTATTTATTTGTTTATTTATTCATCTATTTATCCACGTCTCATTGATATGTCCATTTATTTGTTTACCTAATTTGCTCATCTATCCAAATCATCACCACTACCGCTTGCGACTTTTTCAGCACCGGAAACTATCCCGATGGTGGCGGCGGTGTAACAATATGAGGGTAAAAATAAGGAAAAATTACTAATCAGTGCACCTGTCAAAAAATTATTACAAATTGATGAAAAAAAATGTATATATTTAATTATTAATACTTATAAAGTTTACCATTTATTTGTAATTTTTTTTTAAAACCCTACATTGTGTTGAAATTTTTCCTCAAAATAAAAAATAATTATTTTTAAAATAATTATTTGTTCTTTTCATCAATTATTTTTATTATCATATTTTTATTAATAAAATAAATCAATTCATAAACCAAATACTATAGACATCCATAAAAATGATTTTTTTACTAAATTTCTCTAATTTAAGTTTTGATGAACGATATAAAATGAAGAGTAAATTACATTTTGGCCCCTTTATTTTTTACTATTTTTTTCACTTTGGTCTTTGAAGTTTATATTATCTTAATTTGACATTTTATGTTTTAAGTTTTTTCTAATTACTCTTAAATTAATTTTTATTCAAAATTAAATAAAAAATATGATGTTAACTGTCACATAATATAAAAAATATTATTATATTAGAATTTAGGTTTGAGTTTGTATCATAGGTTTGAGTTATATATAATAAAATATTTTTATATCACATGATAGTTAATGTGTCATTTTTTCTCTAATATTAACGGCGGTTTCATTCATGGCGGTAAAAAGATTGCCGTTAAAAATATACTTAAAATGGCGGTAAAGATACCGCCTCTAAAAATTTAGTATTCACAGCGGTTACGAAAAATAGCCGATAAAATGTGAGTGTTAATGATGAAAAAACTGTGTGAAGCTGAAGGGTCAGTCTTTTATGGCAGTTGTTTGAAGACTGCCGTAAATGTAGTCCACATTTTTTTAATTCCCTCTCAAAAAAAATTGGATTCCCTTCAATTAATTGTTAAACGGCATCGTCTTTTACCTATTTCTTCTAATTGATTAGTTTTTTTTCCTTACATCTCTAACTTCTGGAAGAGAGGCGTTGCAAAGTGAAACGAAAAGTCACCATTGTCGTTTGAAGGTCGTACGAAGTACTGTGTGCATATACTTGGACAGGTTTCTTTTGCTGCTAGTATATGTTTGATGGATATATAGTAAGATTCGACATGACAAAATTAAGAATGAATATCTTTGTGAATTGGTAGGAGCAAACACCAAGTGAAGATAAGTTGAGAGAGAGAACAGACTAAGATGGTTGGGTCATGTACAATAAAGACCTGTAGATGCAATGGTTAGGAATAATCATCATAAATGTAAATATTAGTGGTTGACCTAAATAGGTATGGGATGTGGTACTAAAGAGAGGTATGGATTTATTTAACTGAGCATATAGTCCTTGACAAAGTGGTATGACAAAAAATAATTCATGTAGCGGACCCTACTGTGTTGGGACACAAGGCTTAGTTTGGTTTGATTTGGTTTGGTTTGGTTAAACTTTCTTGGGCAAAATATTAAGATAGGTTACCCTTTTTCTTATAGAAAAACTCATGTGGCATGATTGACCTGTGATGACAGAAAAGTAATGTTGTAAGATGACACTGATCTCTTTTTAATACTGTGTCAGTAATAGGTAAATTATGTTAATATGCCTGTATTTTCTCTGCTTTTTGTGTTATTCAGTTGAAGGAAATAACAGAGAAGTTGCCTCCTGAGGTATCAAACAGTGACGACTTTAAAGACATGAATGCTCTAGTCGAAGATTTTCTGAGTAGGAATAGAGTTCCAGGGTCTGATTCTCATTCTTCCTTGCAAGAAGACTTGGTGTATGACCATCAAAATCGGCCTGATAGAACTTCCTTGATTGAGTCTACTAATAGGCAAGATCGTAGGATGGAAGATCATCTGGATGTTGTAGGAGTTAGAGAACTACCACAAAATGGTGAAGATACTCCAAGGAATAGTAACAGACTATCTGATGCTAGAGAACCTGTACCTATACAAAGCAATGAGAGTGGTTCAAGATCACCTAAAGCTCCTCCAAAGACTGAAGGACAAAAAGAAGTCATTGAACAATTTGAACCCGGTGTTTATGTAACTCTTATTCAACTGCAGGAAGGTACTAAGATCTTCAAGCGAGTTAGATTCAGGTACTGATAGAGATTATTTATTACTGTTTTTTTTTTGTCTTTACTGAACTGTTTTCATATTTTAATCAACTTTTTATATTTTTAGATGCACTAAAAAGTAAAATATATGTGAAATTTTTTTGAAATACGTTCACTAAAGAAGAAAAAAAGAAACAAAAACTAGCACGAAAATATGAAAACTAGTTGATAATTAACCACAGTATTCATGTACTTTAATTTCTATATTCAACTTCATGATGCTTATGTGACAATTATCTTATTACCTGGAATTCGACTCATACGGTTCTACAGCAAAAGAAGGTTTGCCGAGCAGCAGGCAGAGGAATGGTGGAAGGAAAACAAAGACAGACTACTTAAAAAGTACAGCCCGCCGCCAACGTCAAATAACACTCCAACGAGACCACCCACAACTCCAACGCCTGCTGATGAGAATGCTGAGGTGGTGAATACTGAGGCGGCAAATACTGAGGTGACACCATCTCTGTAAACATGGTTTTGTAGCTTAGTCTCTTGCAATCAAATGCGGACAAATGCGAAAAGTGTAAGTAGGAAAAGTTATCAGCAACTGTATGAGACGGTGGATGTTGTAAGGCCGACGTGTTTGCTCTCAGAAACATATTATAGCTTTTTTCCGAGTACGATGGACAACGGGATTCTTTCTTTATTCTGGCCTGCAGGCACGATATCTAATGTCGTAAAAGACAAAAGTGAAATGCTTCTTAACACCAATTGATTTTTAGGAGAGGTGGTGAAACTCGGTGTGACAATAATTTTTGTCATTCATTTAAATATTTATTCTTTTGTGTTGTGCTATTTCCAGAATCTAATAGTTGCTATTCAAGTTGTACAGTAAGTGAATTTTCTAGTGGGGAAAAAACATACATTGTTGTCATTTGTAGAGCTACATTTTTTAGGTAGAACCCTTTGTAATGCAAGGAAGTGCATTTTTCTTTCATTGTATCTGGGAGAGAGATCAGATTGTAGGGCTTCCGCAAGTTTTATGCATGTTGATATGGCAGTTCAGATTAATGCTAGAATGATCAAATTAATGTATCAATTTTTATGTCATTGCCACATTTTTAATGGGGATGTCATGTTGTGAGCAAATGACCTCAAGCACAGAGAAACTACAACCAAAAAAATAAAAATTAAATAAATTAAATTAAATTATACAAGCTGTGTATTAGGTTTCGACAAGAATGAATCAAAGGCATGGGGATGTTGGTACTGTTCGGCTTGCAAAACAATTGGTAATGGTTCTGTTTGTAGTTATTCATGTATTGGTTTTGATCAAGTTTCTGAAAAGTGGTTGCGGTCGCTGTAACGGTGGCAGTGGCACGATTGCGGTGGCGGGGTGTAAAGGCTTTAGCATTACGGTTGCGGTAACTGGAACCGTGAATTTTTTTATTTTTTGCACAATCTGAAAAAAATTTATCGATACGCATATTTTTTTTTTCCATGATCATATTTATTAAGTTTAAAATAAATATTGATCAATTTTTAAAAAATTTTAAGTATGATCCAATATATTTCATATTTTTAAATCACTACAAACTGAGTTTTTTTATATTTTATTTTAATAATTAATAATTTTATATTATACAAAAATTCAATTAGTAACTATTATATATAAGATAAACAATGACAAAAGTAAGAAAATAAATAAGAACCTATATATATATATATATACATATTTTAACCAAGCCAAATAAATAATGATCACACTTATTATTATTATTTTCAGACAATATATAGATAGACACACACAAACAAAATGGTTGAGTGATAGCAACTGAATAGAATAGTATGGGTCTTATAGCTTTAACAAATCAATAACTTGTTCTTCATCTTCCCTCTTCTCTCTCTCTATCTCTTACTCCTCCATTTTCTCTCTTTATCTTCCCTCTTCTCTCTATCCCTTTTCCTTCATTTTCAGCTTTTTTTTGTGTGTTTTTTTCGAAAGAAACAGTTTGGAACCGTTACGTAACGGTGTGTAACAGGGCATCACGGTTGTTACGGCACCGTTACGACCGCTACGGTAGCCGCTACGGCCGACACACCTGTGAATCTCAATCACACTGCAAAAGCGGTCGTAACGGGTGGCGGTAACCACCAAAACCGTTACGAAACGGCGTTACGTAACGGTTGCGGCCGCTTTTTAAAACATTGGTTTTGATTATGAGTTTTTAATGAGTTTTGTTTGGTATGCGAGCTTTAAGGATTGCGCCATAAAATGAATCAAGTTACTCGAATGATTCATTAAAAGTTCATTTAAGATTGATTTATTGTCTAAACAATTTAAATTTGAACACATTTCAAAACTTGTTAAGTTTTTAAATCAACTTTGTCTCCATTTGGAAAGTGGGTTGGTTTTTTGGTTTTTTTGACTTTTTTAGCCTGGGCTAAAAAGCTTGGTTTGGGAATGACTTTTTAGCTTTTTTGACTTTTTTTGTGAGAGAAGAGTGTAATGATTATAAGTCAGATGTGATGTTTTGTTTGTTATGGCTAAAATAACCTATTTTATTTTTTGTGACTATTTTAACCCCAAAACTACTTACCAAACACTACCTTTATCAATATACTATTCGGCTCGACTAGGTTATATACACTATAAAAACAATTTACTTATATCAGCTTGATTAAGTAGTTATTTGGAGTTTGTTTTTTATAGTTTTTTTTTTTTTTTTTTGACTTTTTAAGAGTTAAAAAAGTTAATATGTTTGCAAAGTAGTTTAAAAAAAATATTTTTTTTGAGTAAAAAAATGATATGATTTTGGATTTTTTTTAACTAATGACATACAATTTAGTGATTTTTAAACTTTTTTTATTTTTAGCCAAAAGACGGCTTTTTTTATGAGGTTTCCAAATGACCTCTAAATCTCATTTGAAATTTGTTTAAAAGGATAAATAAACCAAATTTCAACCCATTTTAAGCATTGTTAAATTTTTCAATCACGTTTTGGTAAATTATTGATAGGTCCTAATGATTAGATTTATTTCCCCTCAAGTCTTATTGAAAATCAATTCTAGTAAAATTATTGCAAAAAATAATTTTTTATGATAATTTTTTGCGTATATCGCAAAAAATTGACAATTTGTGACTTTATTTTTATCACTATTTTTATAAATTGTGACTAAAACTTATAATTAGTGACATTTTTCTGTAACGAATCTGTTAGATTATCGCTAAAAGTTGAAAGTAATTGATATTTTTTTATGATAATTTTTTGGGCAAATTACAAACACCCTTCTCGAGGTTTGGTGAAAATACAGATTCCCTCCTGAGGTTTGAGAAATTACATCCCGCCCCCTGAGATTTATATTTTCATAACAAATTGCCCCCTGAGATTTTTATTTTCATACAGATTCTTTCCTAATTTTTCTTAATTTGTTATGAAAATTTGACCATCAGGGGGCAATTTGTAATTTCTCAAACATCAGGGGGAATCTGTATTTTTACCAAACCTCGAGGGGGGTGTTTGTAATTTGTCCTAATTTTTTTAAACTGTCACTAAAACTTATAATTAGTGACATTTTTTATGACAATTTTCTAACTGTCTAAAAATTAACGATTAATGACGTTTTTAAATAGTATTTGATGAAAAATACCATTAAATATTATAGAACTTATTAGACAATAAATTTACATATTATGACTTACACGTAAATCTCTAAATTTTAACAATTTGATACTATGTTCCCACTGATTTGTTTATAGCCTAGTTGTAGAGGTGTAATTTTGGCCCGTGACCCGCGGGCGGCCCAAGGTGGGTCTGGCCCGTTAAGGCCCGAGCTCGAGGCCTTGGGCCTGGGCCATTGTTTTGAAGCCCGGACTAGCTCGGTCCGCTTGGCCCGGCTTATGACTCAGTCCATTAGCCCGCTCAAAGGCCCGCCCAAAAGCCCGACTTGAGGTCTGGCCCATCAGAGGCCCAGTATTATATTTAATGGAAAATAATAGAATTTTTGTGGAAAAAATAAAAATAAAAATTTAAAAATTGTTTAGGCCCGCCCAAAGCCCGAGCTTAGGCTTAAGCCCAGGGGCTCAGTTCATTGGCTCGTCCAAAGCCCGAATACCCCTGGGCCTGGGCCTAGTTTTCTGGCCCGTGGGCTGGCCCAGTCCGGCCCGATTTTTTTGCGGGAGCCCGTAAGACCCGACATGGGTCCGGTCCGACCAGAGCCCGGATGGGCCGGACCAGGCCAAAATTACACCCCTACCTAGTTATAAGAGAATGGAAGGGGACACAGTCTCTCCAAAGATTCTCTTTTTTCAATTAAAAAAAAAATTATAATACTAGGACTAAATTCTATTTGATGTCACAAGTATATTGGCCCCAGGAATGCTATAAATTTAGAATTATCTATCTAAAATTTATTCAAAGATAAAAATCAATGGTTCAAATTCTTTTTACTCGTAACTCTACATTTTATCAATTTAATTTTCACTACAACATACCCATTCTAAGTAAATTCTGATATCCAAACTTTTCTTATTGGCCGCACTTCAAACTTGTCCTTACTCTCGCGAGTATGAAGTTTTTTTATTTTTTTTATTTTTTATTTTATTTGGTTCAAGTTTTTGAAAATAGTTTTATAAGTTTTTAATTCGTATTTTTATATTTTTAATGATTTTTAAAAATATTTTAATTAATTTTTTTACTTAATCTTGGTGTACTTAAAAAATATATAATTTGTAAAAAAATATTTAAAAAATTTATTGAATATAACAAAATATGAAAATGTAATAAATTTTTATATATTTTTTTGTGTTTGGTGAATTTTCTAAATATTATACTTTTTAAATATATTTGGATTGAGTGTATTTAAAAAATAAAAAATTTACATAAAATATTATAAAATTATTAAAAACAAAAAATATGAAAAATAAACAATTTTCTAATAAGTAGGTTAAACAAAGCAATGAGATCTTCATAGGAAAATGTGATATAAAAATGAATTTCTTATTTGATTTTTTTTATATGAAACAAAAAGGGCATATGTTCTACGTGTATTTATTAATGGGTAAATTACACTAACATCTTGAGGTTTAGATTTATTACAGCTCCCTTTTCATTTTTTAAAAATTACATCTCCCTCTGAGGTTTAAAGTTTCATTATAGATTCCTCCCTTCAGCAATTTAATTTTTTTAAATATCAATTTTGCCCTCATTGGGTAAATTACATTTACACCCCTCACATTTTAAAAATTACAATCCCCTCTCTAAAATTTAAAGTAGCATTACCGATTGCCCCCTCGGTTAGTATCAGTTGGAAAAAAAAAATTCATTGAAAAAAATTTTTGTTAGTAAAATTTTTAAATTTCTGTTTAAAAACTAACGTAAACTTATTTTTTGAATTTACGTTTTTTTCTCAAATTTACAAACTGAGACAACCATTTATAAACTAAAAAAATTATCAAACAAGTTTTTTATGACCATTTTTTAAATTTTTGTACATATAAATTGAAAATTGAAAACGAAATGGTTACCAAACAGGCTTCAGATGGTAAAATGTCGTAAAATTAATAAATAATTAAATAAGTTACCAATGTAGAAAATGACTTATCAAAAGATTCTTAGGCTATGTATGGTTTGATTTTTAGAAAAAAAAAATGAAAAATTAATTTGGTTAAGAAATAAAAAATAAAAAATAATTATCATATTTATATAATTTTTATTTTTCGAGTGATTAGAAATATTTTTTTACAAATTAAATTGAAACAACCATATGTATGTATATTACCTGCTCAAAAGTTAAAATGATAATTATTTTTTACCCTTAAACGATAATTATTTTTTATTTTTTATTTCTTAACCAAATTAATTTTTAATTTTTAAAAAAATTCTAAAAATCAAACCATACATAGCCTAAAAATCTTTTGATGACTCATTTCTTACGTTGGTAACTTATTTAATTGTTTGTTGATTTTACAACATTTTTATCATCTGAGGCCTATTTGGTAACCATTTCGTTTTCAGTTTTCAATTTATATTTACAAAAATTTAAAAAACTGTCATAAAAACTTGTTTGATAATTTTTTTGGTTTATAAATGGTTGTCT